GAATTGTATGTCACTAATACATAGTGTTTTAACAAGATGCATTAAATAATCTTTGAAGAAGGGGAGTCAGTGTCTCAGCTATGCATTCATTGCACCAGGGATCCTAATGGAGCTTGTTTTTCTTCTGTAAGTGCTGTGATACTTGTGAATGCCCTCATCCCTGCTCCTGGCAGTAGTGTTGTTGCAGCCATGGTCATCTCAGGACACGGGCAAGATGAGGTTTGTAGGTAGAAGTGATATCTTCTCAGGCATGCAGAGCTGAAGAAGGGGTTTTGTGCCTCAGTTTGTCCCCTTCTTCTGTCTTTACTGGTTGCTATAATCAAGGATATTACTTCATCTACAGACTGTGTCCTGTGTTGCTTCCGATCCTTTTACCAGCCAGGAGTTATTTTTGCTATTGTCACTGTTCTCTGAGGCTTACCACTGACCTTATTCATTGTAATAAATGGGGAAAAAAAAGTGCTGAGGGATTCAAGGAGCCTTGCTTATAGATGCCAGATAAGACACCTTTCTCTGCCAGGATCCATGATGCTTGAGTTTGTGGATTAAATCCAATTACTGATTCCCTCAGGGCTGTCTTATGTAGCAGTTGTTGTTGTACGTAAGTTTCACTACTGGTCTTTCCCTCCCTTGTAGGGATATCTTCGATGAGTTACTAGAAACAGAAAAAAATGCACAGCCACTTAGCATGGAAGTAGGAAGATCGGTTCGTCAGCCTCTGTGAAGAGTAAAACACCTTGTTCCTCCTGAGAAACAAGGAAGATTCTGAACTTGTGCCAGACATGCAGGAGTAACAAACAGCTCAGGGCCAAAACAAGAGACAAAAGGTAGAAATATGGGACGCTCAGTTTGTTGAACCATCTGTGCAAGTCCTGGACCTGAACAACGCGTTTAAACCTTGACATCCCAGAGCAATCCTCCTGTGGTGAAGTTTTTATTGTTCCTCAAATAATTTTGTCAGCATGGAGCCTTAAAGAGTTGCATCAAGCCAGAAGACTACAGCTGCTCGTAAACTGATTTAAATAAAAAAAAAATAGTGCAAAAAGAGACTCGAATTTAAAAGCCCATTCACCTGTGAAATGTGAGTGGCAAAGATTTACATATCACTTGGCTTTTTTTTTTTTTTCTCCAAGAGCAATTTAAGCAATAGATTCTGTAACCTGGCATGTGTTGTGTTAGTAATATTCACTGGAAACCCTGATCACTGAGTATGCTCTTGCCAGTCATCTCACTAACAGGCATTTTGGAATCACTCAAGCTGATGCATTTTGACATTCGTGGGTTTGTAAGCGCTCCCCTATTTACATGCAGTTCCAGGAAACAAACTGTGGGTGCTGTGGAATGTATCACATACCTGGTGGCAGCTCTATCATTTTTTTACACCGTTCACTGTCATCCTCATTTAGACGCGAGATTATATACATGATTTCTTTTGTTTTACAAACTTTATTTGATTGCATTTTCTGCATAAGGTTGTTGCATAAGTACAGTTGGGAAAGGAGAGGTCTGTCTTTGGGTGTGCAGTATTTCGTACTGAAGTTATATTGCTTAGGGCTGCTTCGGTGTAACTCTGGGGGTAGGTGAACAGCTGGAGCAGACTGAGAGCGGTAGCAGGAGGTGAGCCACAGCCACTTTGCATCTTCTGGGAGGGGAAGAGCATTCCAGCGTTACCCTTTCCGTGCAGGCCTGGGGCATTGTGAAACAGAAATGGTGAGAAAAGGGCCTGCAGGGTGGCGCCTGGCACTTGAATTGCTTGAACCATGGTCCTGCCCTGGTCTTGTATCCCAGGGTAAGAGAGTTTTTACTGCAGCTCTGCCTCGGTTCTCCTTTCTAAGGAGTGCAGAGTGCTCAAACTGTGAAACTAAACCAAGTGGAAAGCTTTCAGAAAGCCCATGTTCAGCATTAACAGAACACGGTTAGGAAGAAGTGTTGCGTTTTATTGGATTTAGAGACATGATGCTCCTTTTATAGCTTGTTTCAGTAGGGAGGGAAGAGCCTCATGACTTCATTTTTTCAGCACCTTCGCACTTATTTAGCAGAGGCAGATGTATCCTTTTGCTGGCATTTACTCATTTCAGAGAAGTTGTTGCTGTTAAGCAGAGTTGCTCTTGTTTTGGCCTCTAGTTCTGATTTTTGCAGCTTGAGTTTTAGAGGTGAAAGACTTCTTTAAAAAAAAAAAAAAAAAAAACACAAAAAAACAAAACAACCACCTGTTTTTTGCTGCCGAGATAGTTTCTGGGTTTTTTAATCTGTTGTTAGGAGTTTCTCAGGAATAAATCAGCTGAAGCAAAGCAGACAAAACCATCGGTTTAGGAGACAGCAGGCACCTCTTTCATGGGCACTTCCACACTAAAGTTTGTCTGAGCAGGCTGGCAGGGGAACGCTACCTCAGCAGCCTCTTCTCACCTCTGTGCGCAGCAGCAGGTGACAACCATCGCTAGTCTTCCCCAAGCCGAGTACTTTGGGGACCCTGGTGTGGTGAAAAGACTGACTGACCTTTCAGTCCACACCTCAGATGAGCCTGGTGGACCTGGTCAGGGTGACATCTTTCTGGTTTCTGAGCTAGGAGCCAACGTTTGGTTGTAAACATGACAAAGCGTTTATCTTGTAAGATGCAGCCCGAATGGGTGTATATGTTAATTTATTACAAAGCATTATACTTTTCTATTGTCGATACTAATTTTGGTAGAATTCTGGGCGACGAGAAGAGGCAGTGACATGGGAGTTGTCCTTTGAACTGATCACCCCTGCAAATGTGATGAAGGGACTGCTCCATCCAGAGGGCAAATCTGTTTTTCCCAAGCGCATCCTATGCTAGTGCTGTAAATAACTGGTATTCCTGTAGTATCAGAAGTCAGCTCTGCTTTTTTGGGTGACGAGGTTGTTTTTGCAAGGCACTGCACTCCAGTTAATTTATAATAAAAGCAAACATTGCCTGACTTTTCAGTACAGTAACTTTTGTTTAAAAACAGTTTTTGTTTGGATCAAGGTGCAAAAGCTGGTGCTTGAAACTAGTGTTCCCTATTTTATGAAAAGGTCTTGCTTACTCTTGTAGCCATTAAGAATTTGCAGACATCTATTAATTAATTTAAGCTTTTTTGTTTGGCATATGGCAGCTCAGTTGCACCTTCACCCTGGCAGGAGTATCCGCGGAGCCCCTTCCTTGCAGAAGCCAGCTTTCTCCCTGCCTGAGAGCAGCGGGAAGGAAGATGGGTGTTTAATCCTCAAGGGGTGTGCTGCCCACCAGCTCTGACTTTCCCATCGCTCACCCTGTTGCAGCAGCAAGTTCAGTAAGGTCATCCCTTCCAGGTGGGACACCCATCCTGGGGTATAGGTAGGTGGAGAAGTTCCAATGCGATCCCTGAACACGTGCAGGCTCTTCCTCAGATGTACAGAGTCGCAGTTAAACATTTACCTGCTCCTCCTCAATCAGCCTAGTTTAGTCCAAGTGTGATTCAGCATATAAATGCAAGGAACTCCCATCTTGCCGTTCCTCTCACCCCTTCATTGTTTGACTGCGATAAATTGATCTTGACTTGCTCCCCTACTCCAAGAGGTGCAAAACTGTTTGTGTCGATGAACTGGAGCTTCTGTGCGTGGGTCCCTGCGGAGCCCTGGCCGGCGAGGCTGCACAAAGAGCCTTTGCAAAGCAAGGACTGGCTTCCCGACCAGAGCGGCAGCCTGAGACCGATGCGAGGAGCAGAGCAGGAGGAGGAGCAGGGCTCTCTGACGCCTGTGGCCGTGGCATTGCCTTCCACCTCCTGCTCGGTGCAGCACAGATAACCATCACCCGTGCATCTTCCTTCCCGTCCCAAGGAAGGGATGATGGCCAGCCCAGTGCTTCCTGCTGCGATTCACCCTGGCGCCGGGCATGTGGGGATTGCTGTGCTTTGGTGAGGGTGGGGGGCCTGGGAATAACTCATCTGCTTTGTTTTCTTTTTAATGGAGCTAATTATCCCTGTAATTGCCCACCAAAGAGAGAAAAAGGGGTGCGGGACCCCTGGCAGCTGCTGTCTTCAGTAGCTCTGCTGCCGGACTCCAGCCTAAAAACCGGTGGGTGTCTGCTGCTGGTTTCTGCCTGCACCCTGACTTTCTGGTTCTTTACACTGTTAATGTGGAGCAGCACTTTTCTCTGTGTTTTAGCAGACCTGTTCCTCTCTATATTCTTTACAGTTTTTGCTCTTGGGTTTCCCCCTGCCCCTTTTTAAATGATGTGTAGATAGATTTTTGTGAAATTAAAACCTCTTTATTAACCCTCTCTTAGTTTGGGATCTTATTTCCACGCTGCCTGGGCTGCTGCCCATCAAATGCCATGGATGATGGGCACCGCACCTCCGCCCCCGCTTGCTGTTGGGACTTTGCTCACTTGCCCGGGAACATCATCGGGTCTGTGTTCCAAGCCTCCCGGCACATGCAAATCCCGGCCCACCCTTGCCAGAGACATGTCACGGCAGGGACACCCCCCCCAGCCCCTTTCTGGATCCCAAGCAGGAGGGAGATGCCCTCCTCCCTTCCCGGGGAAAGGACAAGTGATCCCTGGTGTCTGTCCCCAGCGGGTGCCGTCCCCTCAGCCTACGGCTTGTTGCTTTTACCTTTGGTACCGCATGTATTTACTGAGGTTTAGGCGATAACAGAGGGAGCGGCTCCAGCCGTATACCAGACCTTTAACCCTCAGCTGCAGCTGCTGGGGCGGGGGGGGGGGGCCCTGGATCCCTGGGGGCGGGATGGGGGAGCCATGGCTCCCGGGGGGTGCACCGCCTCTGAGCGCAGGGAGAGGGGCAGAGGGAAAGATCCAGGGAAAAGGAGCTGAAGGTCCTTCCCTGTGCTGCTTCTGTGCCCAGTCAAGGCCTGTGTCCCCCTGCATGCCATCTCTTCGCCAAATAAACCCCACACCTGGGCTGAGCCCAGGGGTCGGGGGGAAGACGCAGCCCTGCTCTCCAAATCCTTTTTATTTAATAAAAATAATGAGCTGTGGTTGTCCCTGTGCCCAAGCTCCTGCCCTAGAAGAGTCCTTTGTCCTTCTTGAGCTTCTGTTGTTTCCACAAGGGCAGGGTGCTGAAGGCGGGGCGGCTCATACCGAAAACAGCCTGGAAGTCCTCGTTGGAGAGGTAATACTGGGGGAGGAGAGAGGAGGCTGAGCTAAAGCTTGGGGGGGGGGCTTATCCTGGTCCCCCCCAGCAGCCTCCTGGCCTCATCTCACCTCCTTCCTGCTGGGATCCACACCCCGTGGCAGGTCCTCGGCTGAGGTATTCACCAGCACATGCAGGGGGAAGGTGTCCAGTTTGTCGGGGAGGAGGGTGGTGGTGGGGGTGAAGACCTCTTGCTTGGATGAGAGCATCTAGATGAGGGGGGGATAGGGTCACATCAGGGGCTGCCCCAGGGACAGAGGCACCAGGCTGGCTCCAGGTTGTCCCCTCACCGCAGGATGTGTCCTTGCAGCCCCTCGTGCCACCTGCCAAGGGGCCGGCAGGGCTTTCTGTGCCCCCTTCCACCTCGGTCACCCTCTCTCCCTGTACCACTTACTGAGGTGAGCTGCCCAAGGCTGCTCTTGTCCTCCAGCTCGGCTCTCAGCACCTCGTAGGATTTCTTGTCCTGGGATGGGGACAAAAGCACTCAGCCCCTTGGTACGGGCAGGAATCGGAAAAATCACTGTCCACACCCCGGAGATGCTGGCTGGGGCCAGATTCACATCTGGTCCCACCTGTGAAGGCCCCCGCCCCGGTCCTCCATGACTCACGGCCCAATTGAGAGGGTCCCAGGCCAGGAACCAGCCGGTGAAGGTGGGGGGCTCGTGGCCCTGCTTCACCACGATGATGGGGGTGTCGAGGTCACGCCCACTGGGGTGGTCCCGCAGGTACTCCTGCGCCATCACCGCCGCCGCCTCCTTCTCCGACTCGTTGGCGCCTTTCCCAATCCAGAAGAAAACCTGCAATGAGGTTACCGTGTCCACCACTGGAGTGAGACAGGGCCGTGCCCGACCCATTGTTGGGGGTACACAGGATCTGTCCATGGGGAAGGGCACTGGGAGTCCCTCCTCAACCATCCCCGGAGCAAGGGGGCTGGAAATAAAAACAGCATAGGGCCAGGGACATGGGGGGGTTCCAGCCTCCCATCCCACTACCTCTGGCTGCTGCAGGTCCTCCAACACCTCTGGGGACATCAGCTTGTGGGGATCAAAGGTGTCTTCCTGCCCCCCCCCCCGAAACCAGGTGTCCAGCAGGTAAACGTCATCCTCCTCCAGGTCATCCTGAGTGAAGTCTACAATCTCTGTGGCCAAGAAGGTGCCTGTCTTGTTGGAGCACTCAAAGAGTCGGGGGGATATGGAGGGGTTCTTCTCCTGCAGCCTGGTGGGGAGCAATGTGGAGGTGGTGGTGGGAATGGGGTTCAACCTGCTTGGGGACTGGTGGCCCATCTTACTCATGAGCATGGGTAGGGACAAGGGACCCCTGGGCACAGGCCTGGTACCTCTTGCTGTTGGCATACTGAGACTTGCCCCCCAGGGCCAGCCAGAACTCAGGTGGCTCCTGTCCCTCTGCAATCGCTAGCTTCTCTGTCTTGGAGATGATGTCGGCTACCGTCTTGCCCATCTCACGCTCGTCCCCACTGCAGCCCTGCCAAGCAAGCACAGCAGCTCCATCACCAGCCCCAGCCAAGAAGGAGGAAGAGGAGATGGGGACATTTCTCTTGAGGGTGACAGCAGCCACCCCAGTGCCTGGCAGTACCCACCTTCCCATACCAGAGGTAGCAGCAGCTGGGAGTCTTGAGCACAAAGACATCGTTGGAGTTGAGGGAGGAGGCGCGGACAGACACCTCGAAGGCCTTGGTGTTGTACTCATTGGTGCCGTGCACATGGAAGAGGCGGGTGGAGGGTGTGGGTTCCTTGCTGCCTGCCCGCGAGGTGCCACCCTTGGAGGGGGGGAACAGGGACAGGAGGTCACCACTGATGCCGCAGGCTCACTCGCCTGCCTGGTGCCCACCCCACCGGCAGCCCCGTGCTCACCGCATACACAACCATCTTGCCCTTGAAGATGGCCATCAGGTGGGCCGGTTCCTTGCCCATGGTGACGCGGACCTGCACGGGCTCGTTGTTGTACTTCTGGTCCAGGATGACGGTTTGGTAGGCGGAGGCGGTCAGCTCATCCGTGCTGGCTTGGCGGCCCTGGGGAGGGCAGAGGGGGGTGGTTCAGCGCACACCATGGCCCCATTTTACCCTCCTGGGAAGAGGGAACCCTCATGCCGTTCCCATGGGGTCATGCACAGGGGAGAGCAGCCCTCGGCCTGAGGAGGTGCCCCTGTCCACCACCTGGAGGGGTCTCACCTGCCAGAGGTAGATGATGCGGTTCACCTTGGGCCCCACAAAATAGGTGTAGAGTATCAGGTAGCAGTCCCCGCCGTAGAAATGGCCCAGCCACTTCTTCTCCACGGGCACCAGCTCCTGGTTCTCCACGCGCCAGACCTGGTGGGATGGGGATGGGGAAGTGCTGCTGCCAGGGCTGATGCATTCCCCTGCCCTGCAGCCCTTGGACCCCATAGCATCCCCCAGTACATCCCAGGATGTGCCTTGAGAGGGTCCCACATTCTGCGCCGGCCACCCTTACCTCCACCTCCCCAGATCCATCATCCACCATCTTCTGCTGGGCAGCCATCTGAGGCTTGGCGTACAGCGTGGTGGCATCAAACTTCACCTGCTCCACCTTGGCTGCGGAGAAAGGCAGAGGGCTGAGTCACATCCCACTGGTCATGGGAGTCCCCACAGCCCCCCCATCCCAATCCAAGGAGTCCTGCAGCATCAGAAGGGGATACTCACCCACTTTGCCCACAGTATGGGTCTTGCCCAACCCACTGGTCTGATTGGGAACGGTCCATTTTTGGAACAGCTGCCTGAAGATGGTCGACTCAGACCCATCATTCTCTGTCTCCACACTGGTGCTGGTTGGGTAGTTCTTGGCTTTGATGAAGCCCTGGGGGGAGTCAGACCCAGAGCGTGGGCATGGGGTGCCCAGCACCTTGGGGAGCAGTCAGGCTATCCCATAACCAACCCTAACCCAGCACCCACCAGTGCCCTGTTCATCGCCTGCTGCTTCTCCTCCTTGTTGGCATTCTTGCCCTTCCACACGAAGATCTTGAGACCTCCTTGATCAAGGATGTAGCAGTCCTTGGAAGGGACACAACAGCAGAAATTAGGACTTTGAGCAGTTTTAATCCTTCAAAAGCCAGGCTTTTGAAGGGTTAAAACTGCCAAGGAAATTGGGCACCCCCAGCATCCCATGGGTGACACACCTCATGCAGGAGCATGTCTTGAGTCAGGGGTCGAATAGCCACCTCCTGTATGACCAGGTTCCCTCTGGCATTGGAGACGCTGGCAGGGGAAAAGAGAGGAGGAGGGACTGGAAAACCCTCTCCCTATCCCCACCTTGAGGTGGCAGGGTTGGATGGCGGTGTCCCCTCCTCATCCCCTTCCCCATTCTGATCATGGCAGAGACGGTACCCAGGGACCCTCTTGCCCTGCCATGGTGGCAACCAGGTTTGCAGCTTGCCCTGCCACGTAGCTCACTCATGGCCATGAGGTGGGGACAAAGGGGTGTCAGATGTGACGGGACCACCCAGGGACACTGCCACCATATCCAAAGATCATGCTTGCACAAGCAGCTCCCCAGCCTGTTGGCACCAGGGACTCCCCTTTCTCCAATGGCATCCAAAGGACCTGTCCCCACCTCTGCGGTGGCCTTGACCTCTCTTGGTGGCTGTCCATGTCCCACAGGAGTTGTGGGACATAGCAGAGATGGGTGCTAGGTCCCTCTGACACCCTGCAAGGGGTCCCTGTGGGTGACCACCCCCAGCAACTCACTGGTAGAGCTTGAGGGAGGACTTGAGCTTCTGGTCCACTTTGTCATCAGGAGTGGCTGCCTTGATGTCCCCCTTCTCACCCAGCACATGCTTGAGGACCTGCATGAGCTCCGGCGAGGCCCCCTCGTCCTCACCGTCCACTACGCCCACCTTGGCACGGCCCCCACGCTCCCGGTCCCGAATGTCCTTGGCCAGAGTCATCGCCTGCACCCAGAGGAGAAGGGTTCAGCCCAGATCAGGGAGAAGGGGTTAGCCACCCCTTTCCTCCGGGGGGGGATCCTGGGATCCCCTGACCATACCTTCAGCCTCTCGTTTCGGTTGCTTTCAGGGCCGTTCCACTGGACGATGAGCTGGCCCAGGTCCAGCAGGAACACGTCACCCCGGTTGAAGCTTTTCCAGCTCATCTCCACCTGCAGTGGGATGGGATTGAGCCAGGCTGGGGGGAGGGGGTTCAAGCAGCAGGACGCCCAGGTCCCCCTGGGTCCACAGCCCCCGCCTGCCCTGGCTCAGTGCTGATGCCTCCAGCCTGTATTCCTCCTCCCTACCCCAAAAGGGTCTTTTGGGGGTGAGGTTGCTCCTATGGCAATGGCCCCACACCTGTTTTGTCCCCTGCTTGAGGGCATCTGTGTCTGGGGAGGCTCTGGCCTGACCCTGACCCCAAACAGCATCTCTGCATAGAGGTTGGTGGTTGGGGAACCCCCCTACATCCAGTAACTCACCTCCTGTGCCACCACGTTCTTCTTGCCTTTCACATGCAGCAGGCGCTGGACGTTGTAGGTGTTTGTCTCCACGTCCTTCATGCCCGAGGCCACTCCGCCCTTCTTATAGCTGGGGGGGATGGACATGGTGTCAGCCTTGGGCCCCCGCTTCTTGCTCCAGTGAGATCCCTGTCCCACCTCTGTGTGCAGGGAGGTGTTCAGGAACAACCCCCCCCCTCCATGTAGGTGATGGATGGAGCAAGACCAGCTCCAGATCTTCCTCCTGTCTCCCCCATCCCACTGGATCAGGGCTTTCCCCATCCCCAGTGGGGATGTCCCCACGGGAGTATGCAGAGGTCTCCCCCTGCACTGTCACCAACTGTGGGAGTGGGTTCCCGGGGGTGACCAACATACATGAGTCCCTGCTTGAAGTAGGCACGGAAGGTCTCGCTCTCATGGCCCTGGACCTCACGGTGCTGCACGGCCACCGTGCCCAGGTGGTCATCCATCTGGGTGGTGTAGATGGCGGCCGCCCCTTGCTCGTCCTGGCTCGAGTCCTTCCC